CTCTCCGCTTAGTCTCCCACCCTTTCTTCCGGCACCTTTCCCTAGCCGGTCACAGGTCTAGGGACTTGAGATTCTCACTTTCTGCTTCAGCCCTCGGGGGCCAGGTGCAACCGCGGAGGGGAACGCAGCCTCCGCCCACTCACCTATCTGAGGGGTGAAGCTCGCTCTTCCCCCTTTCCTGAGGCTCTGTGGTATTACCCAATCCTCAGTTTGGGGGAGGGGGACGGGGAGAACTGCGCTTGGCTAGGGAATGAGGGGAGATGATAGCCAATTGAAAGAACCATCCATTCGGGGGCGGGGGCGGAAGGAGGCCCGCCCTCCCTGCCCCGCCCCTCTATTCAAACTACATTTCCCATAGTGCCAGCTTCCACTTCCTGCCGCGCTGCTTGCCGGGAGTCTAGAACCTCCTGATTTTTAAAGTATCTCAGGACTAGTCTTTCCTCTAACCTGCTAGGTCCTGAAAGTTATGAAATATTTTACTTCCCTCCGCTGCTCTGAATAAGTTTCCAAAACTTCAGTTTGTTTACTGCTCTTATATTAATCAACTTATTATTTCAAAGTGTCAAAAATGATTTCTTAGCAAAGAAGGTAAAGAATGTGTCTTGTGGCAATCTGTCAGGACCTGGGAACTGCTGCTTCTTCCGCCCGGGCCTGGTCGCTTCCGCGGATCCCTTGCAGTCATGTCGGCTGCAATTGCAGCTCTGGCCGCTTCCTATGGTTCAGGTTCGGGGTCCGAATCAGACTCTGACAGTGAGGGCAGTCGTTGTCCGCTGCCAGCCGCCGACTCCCTCATGCACTTGACCAAGTCGCCTTCGGCCAAGACTTCCCTGACAGTGGCGGTAGACTCGGCTCCAGAGGTGGCAGTTAAGGTAAGTGTTTGGCTACTGATGTTGTGCTGGTACTGGCTTTAGCTCGAAAACTACCGGCTGCAGCTCCAAAACCACCGGCTGCATGTTAAGTCCCGGCTTCCCTCTTAGGGCTTAGAGTTACGCTGCTAACGCATAAGTCTCGTCTCCCTCTCTTCTTGGAAGAAGCGGAGAATTGGAAGTTTGGGACAGCCCTCCCTTGCCCTCTGCCCTCGGCTCCATCAGAAAAAAATGGTCTAGGGGACGTAAATTCTTGGATTGGGGCAAGGCTGGAATGGAGCAGATATAGACTCAGAACGTAAATAAAAGCAGATGAGGATTTCCCAACTAGAGTTGAAGTGAACAGTGGCCTGCGTTTGTTTTCTTTTTTCTTTTTTTTTTGGCACCGGGGATCGAACTCGGGTCCTTGCACTTGCAAGGCAGGCCACCGAACCTCTGAGCTAAGTCCCCAGCCCTCTGCGTTTGTTTTCGAAGAACTCTACGTTCTGATCCGCACTCCATCATCACTCGTTTGAACTTGGACAGTTTATACCACCTTTTCTGTTTCTTCGTTTGTAAAATGGAGTTAAATTTTAAAGTGCTTATTTATATGAGAGGACTATTGTGACGACAAAGTTGAAATAATTATACAAATAAAGCTTAGAGCCCAGAAACTGATCTCTAGTGAGAGGGCAGTGCATATTAGCTATTGAAGAAAAGGTACTGGATTTAAGAACAGCATATATGATCCCAATGGAGGAAGGTTATAAAAGGAGAGATTGGCTTACATAGTTGATTTGACAAATATTTATTGAGTATGTATTATTTGTCCGGAACTATTCTATAGTCTGAAGTCGCAGTGGCCAGCAAGCCAGTCATCCTTGTCATCATGAGGCATACATTTTAGTGGAAGAGATAACTAGTTACATGTGACCAAATGAAGTAGTTACAGATTGAATTGGGTACTATTAAGGGAAAAAAAAGTACCATGCTAGAGACTAAGGTAGGAGTATGATTTTGATAGGTCCGTCAAGGAAATCTCTCTGGAAAAGTCTCTTGGAAGAATGAGAACTTATCCCATTGCAAGCTAAGACGAACGTGTATAGGAAAAAGTGACCAGCATCCCTGAATAGGCAGAGAGATTAGTATGTTTGAAGAACTGCGGGAGAGTTGCTGTGTCTAGTGCCAGGTCAGAGCATTCCCCCAGTTGGTGTTAGAGCTCTGTGTGAGCAGTTAGCTCAGGATATGGAGAGAAGGTATCAAAAATCCTTACATGTGATGTCCCCAAATCTAGTGCTGTGACTTAAGGTTTTTAGTGAGCCATTTACAAATTTTTATTTTTTAATGGGCATCTGGCATGAAAGAATGCTTATAATTTTATCTTTATTGCAAAACAAAACTCCCAATTTCTCTGCAACAACCTCCTAAGTCTGTATTCCTTTCATAACTCTTTTGAAGCACTCATCACTTCTTCACCTCCATTTTCACCTCAGTGCAATGCAGCTGGCCCAAGCCTCTTGGGAAACCTGCCCCAGAATGATGTCCTTCCACTTGTCAGGTTCTGCCATCTGACGTAAATCTTTGCATCAAGTGACAATGTTGAACAGTTCCTCTTTCGGAAAATGTTCTCTCTTCGACACGCATGGGGCTATCCTCAGCCTTCTGGTCCTGTTCTGCACTCTCCTTCAGTATTGGTGTCGCCCAGGTCTGCCTGCAGTCCTCTCTGCATTTCACTTACTCCCCCATATCTTCAACTGCAGCGACCACAGTTGGTCCCTGGGAAGTGGTTAGCACAGGCTTGAGCCAAGACTCCAGGATTCAAACCTGCCTTTAGCACTTATCTTCGTAGTGGTCATGGATAAGTTACTTATGTACTCCCTGCCCATTTGGTTTCATCTTGGAACCTTCTCATAGGATGAACACTACTCTTATCTCCTAAAAATTATAAAAATTGTCAGTAAGCACGTGAAGCAATTTTAGTAATGCCATATATAAAGTAAACAAATTAAATGTCAGCTGCCCTTATTATTTCTAGGCCTAAATTCCTTGCTAGCTTAACACCTAATAAACATCTCTCCCAGGAGATTCTTGGGTACCTCTAATCCAATGTGCTGAAAAATTAAGTTTCTCTCCCTCAAAATCCCCTTCTATTTTGCCCATTTTGATTAATGACCCCACGGTCTACCCATTAGTGCAAGCCAAGAACAGAAGTGTCATCCTTTTCTTCTTTAGCTCCTAAAGCTATTCATACAGCTGGTGCTAACATTTCTATCTCATTAATTTTTCTCAGATCAATCTCTTCCTCTCTGTTTTCATCAGCACAGTCTTCATAGTTTCTTTATTTTTTCCCAGGGATTATTCTTTACTTCTTTATCTCAGCCTTTGATTTTGGGTGGTGTGTCCTGCCTATGATATTTATCGGATGTCTCTTTCCTCTTCTGCTGCCATTTCTCTGTTCAGGTGCTCATCATTTTACCTAAGTATAGCCTTCTAACTGGTCTTTCTAATTCCTCCTTTTTGTCTCCCAGTTCCATACCCCATTCTTTCCGCCGCAGAATACCCAAAATGTTCTTTGTAAATTCTGATTTCAGGTTGCTTCCCTGCCCAAAGACACCGTACTGCCTATTACAGAATTTCTAAGTTCCTTATGTACCATGTGAAACCTGCCTTTTCCCTCCCCCTCCCTTCTGCCATCTGACTCCCATCATCCAAACTCTGCTGCCCTTCGTTTTCAGTGCATTTTCCTTCTATGTCCATCAGCAAGCCTCTTTATGTCTCAGCTGTACCCTTTACACATTGTTGGAATATTTTTCCTTTTCCCTAGACAGAGGGACCCAGAGATTGTTGTCCTTTCCTTTGTGTCTCCAATGTCTAGTACACAAGATTAAGGAAATACATGTTGTTGGAGAAAGGGAAAAGTAAGTGAAAAAGAATGTACATTAAAAATCCAAGTTTAAGAACTGGCTAGGTAGTAATGGAATGGGGGAGTGTCTCTTTTGAACTCACTCAGGATTTATTTCAGTAGGAAAGGAAATCCAGGAGAAATGGTTGCGTGAAGGATTGGCAAACTTAGGGCCCGATAAGTATTTTAGACTGAGTTAGCAGCACATACTGTCTTTTACTTTTTTGTCCTTTTTGTTTGTTTGTTTGTTTGTAAAACAATGTAATGCAATTCTTAGCTTATTAATACAAAACATACACTGTGAGCTAGATTGGCCCAGACTATAGTTTACCAGCCCCTGTACTAGGCCATAAAATAAGTCTCGATAAATTTTAAATCATATAATATAACAATCCCTGACCACAATGCATCTACACTAAAAAACAGGCACAAAAAGGTAACTGTAAGTTTCTCATGCTTGAAAATTAGAAATTTGTACTTCTGAGTAACCAGTGGGCCAAAGAAAAGTTCATAACAAAATACTTTGAACTGAACCACAAGCAAACTAATACTCAGTGAGGTGTAGCCATAGGTAGTACTTTTTTGAAAAAGTGGTCTCAGACTGGGTGTGGTGGTGCAGGCCTGTAATGCCAGCTCTCTGCAAGGCTGAGGACCAACCTGAGAAATTTAGTGTTGCAAGACCCTATCTCAAAATGAAAAGTAGAAGAGAACTGAGAATGTAATACAGTGCAAAGGCCCTGTGTTCAGTACAGAAGGTGGAGGAGAGCTGCAGAAACTTAATGTGTTAGGAATCTATTTTTTTAATCATTCTCTGCCATCATTTATAAATTGTGCTCAGTTTCTGTTCTTTTAAGTGGTTACACCTACAAATTGTAGTATCTGAATTAATCAGTACCTTCCCCCTCTTCTGAACAATGCAAGAACCACTTCGATTTTGCATGGGTCCCCTCAACCCTATTTTAACTCTTGTTGTCTGGTATGTGTGTGCATGTATGTACACGTACACACCACATATCCTCTGCAAAATGGCAGTGAACGATGGTGATCCTTGTAAATGATCCTATGTAAATGATCATGTGGCACATCCTGAAAGTTTATAGACTATCCTTGAATGAGGATTGATGGTGGCAAATGCTTTCACTTTTAGTTTGTCTTTCAAATGTTTTTATATAAAGCTTTTTCTGGTTGGGTTTGTTTGTCTTTGTTTTTTGAGACAGGGTCTCACTATGTAGTTGAGACTGACCTGGAACTCACTATGTAGCCCAGGCTGGTCTTGAACTCACAGCAGTCCTCCTGCCTCAGCCTCCCGAGTGCTGGGATTACAGGCATGCACCACCATGCCAGGCTTATAAAGCTTTTTCTTAGAGAATGTTTTCATTGGGTTTAGTTTGCTTAGCTGACAATTTTCTCTCAACACATTTATGATAGCCTACCTTCTGGTTTTCACTGTTACTAATAAACCAGCCATCCATATAGATACTTCTCTCTGAAGGTGATTTGTTTTCTTTTGACAGCACATAAGGCCCTCCCCTTTTTATTTGAGTTATAGTTTAATTCTTTCATTTTACTATGGGATTAGCATGTGGATTTATTTATTTTTCAAATTTGTTGGGTTTCCTCCAGTGTAAATTGAGTGGTTCGGAGTATGTATCTCAACAGTTCTGGGAAGTTCTTGGTTCTTATCTCATATTATTGTAGTCCCATTCTTCTCTTATTCTGGAACTCCAGTGAAATATATTGTGTTCTTAAATATATATCAATAACTTTTCTGGTTAGAATTTTATATATAGTGCGGTGTTGTCAAATTTTGCACTTTACAAATTACTACTTTAGCTCCAGGCATGCCTCTAATCCCAGCACTTGGTAGGCTGAGCCAGAGTGATAGCTGTGAGTTCGAGGCCTAGCTAGATCATATAGTGAGTTTAAGGCCAGCCTGAACTATTTAGGGGAGATCTTGTCTCAAAGGAAGAAAGAGAGGTGTGGGGGAGGGAGGGAGGGAAGTAAGGAGAGAGGGAGAGAGAAAACAGAGAGAGGAAATGTGATACACCCTTTTGTTTCCAAGGGTTGCTTTTTAATTATCTTTAAAATGTTTAAAAATAAGAACAGAACTGGCCTTTTCTCA